TGCTGCCAACGCCTCCGCCCATGCCCGCCCACGCCCTCGCCCAAATCGAAGCTGCTAGACTCCAGAGGGAGGAAGCTGCTCGCCTTGAAGCTGCTGGACAGGCTTCCCGTGGTGTTCGGAGATAGACTGAAGCTTCGGTTTTAAATCTAAGAGTGTTGTGTGTTCGATCGCGGGGAAAAAATGGAAAATAAATAAAAGTTGGAAACTCACCGCAGGCTTTGGAGTATTCTGATTCCCCGAGTTTCTTTTTTTTTTCTTTTTCTTTTTGTTTTGTTCTAATCAGCTGACTTATAATACTTGTTCACATGTGTTTCCTACTCTTAAACACATACAATTTTCGTTTTTTAAGTATTTTACTGATTTTATTTGAGTTTTACTCAAAAGAGATTTGGTGAATCGCAGTGTTCTAGAAATTAGGGTGAGTTGCCACTTTTCTTTTTCTCGTTTTCTTTCTGTTCTGTCGAGTTTACAAATGTGAGGTTTTTCATCTCTGACATTTGTCTCGTGGTTAGGACTTCTGTAACTTGTTTATGTTTATGTCATGTAACAAAACTGTATATATATAGTGTATAAGTGTATGTGTAATATATATATATATATATATATATATATATATATATATATATATATATATGTATGTATGTATGTATATATGAACAAAAAACATAAACACAGTAACGTGTACACAAAAATGAAAATAACCACAATGAATTTTTCAATTCTCATTGTGAATATATTTTCATTTTCATATATATATATATATATATATATATATATATATATATATATATTTATATGTATATGTATATATATATATATATATATATATATATATATATATATTATATATATACATAACACACACCACACACACACACACACACAACACACACAACACACACACAACACACATACACATAGATAGATATAGATATAATATACACACACATGCACATATATATATATGTATTTATATGTATATATATATATATATATATATGTATGTATTATGTATATGTATGCATGTTTATGCGTACACACACACACATATATGTGTGTGTGTATATATATATACATATATAATATATATATATATATACATATATATATATATATATATATATATATATATATATATATATATATATATATATATATATGTATGTATGTATGTGTGTGTGTGTGTGTGTGTATAGAATATAACTACGTGTCATTATTACTTGAAAGTCCAAAGATCGTAAAATGTGTATCTGGTGCAGAATCTGAAGCCAAACCCTAGCTTTATAATTCTTTCTCACTGTACACGGATCTGCCAAGGGGCCAGTTTGTTTACATGTGTATCTTTGTGTGTTATTACCGACTGATTTTGAAGTTTGAAAGTTGGTGTGTAAACGCATTGACGTGTGTATATGTATGCAAGTATATCCGTGTACCGTATGTATATATGCGCAACACACATACATACATATAATATATATGTGTTTATGTATGTATGTGTGTGTGTGTGTTTGTGTGTGTGTGTATCATATATATATGACATTTATAGTGTGTGTGTGTGTGTACAGAGAGAGAGAGAGAGAGAGAGAGAGATACACATATATCTATGTTTATTTCTGCATATACATGAACGCAGTGTAAACATAAATTAATGAAGAGAGATGGGGATGTTTTTTTTTCTACTTTTTCATACGTTATTTTCATTATTATTATTATTTTAAGATCGTACATGCATTTTCGGTCAATTAAAACATTTCATGAGATATTATTTCATATTTTATTATCCATACATATTTACCGATTCCGAAAATGGTAACTGTTACATAACGTTTAATTAACAAAAATGAGTGTCCATGGCTCGTTGCCTAAGGTTATTAGCAATTAATACTAATTTGAGTCATTTATGTCTTTGTATTGTACCGAAGTAATTAGAACTCAGTACTGCTTCTTGCCTGTAATTACACAGATCCTATTTTTCACTCCTTAATTACATCAGTTACCCCCCTCATACATAAGTAATACGCACGTAGTCACTCTTCCCCTTCAACAATTAAAAAAAAAAAAAAAAAATGACAGCAATTTTCTGCCTGTTACCTCCCCCCCCCAACCAAACAACCAGAGAAAATAGCCAAAAAGTCCTGCTAAAACTTCTCAATAAAAGTTCTCATAAAAACATTTTATTTATGAATGAATGCGTAAATTTAATCCGTTAAAAATAATCAGCTAGTGTTTTTTTTTTCTTTTTTGGAAGAGGGAGTGAAAGGCAGAGAGAGAGAAGTTAATTTCGAATACGAAAATTAAAGTCATTGGCAAATATAGTAGATAGATAGAGATGGACTGAGAGAGGAGAGAGGAGAGAGAGAGAGAGAGAGAGAGAGAGAGAGAGAGAGAGAGAGAGAGAGAGAGAGAGAGAGAGAGAGAGAGAGAGAGAGAGAGAGAGAGAGACAGACAGACAGACAGACAGACAGACAGAGGAGAGAGAAAAAAACACACAGAGAGAGAG